CGACTTAAACCTTCCTTGTTAAAATTAAATTTGGACTATACACTTTGAATGAGCATCGCGAACATTGGAAATTCATTGAAAGTGACAAACGAACAAAGTAGAGCCAGTCTCTAATTCTGATGAATTGAATGGATCACTCATTCGCAATGGAGCTGCAGTGGCAAGTCTCAACTTATCCAGTAACAAGTGAACAGCCGTTCCGGTAACTCACGGTTTTGCCATCTAATTACCCTAGTAGCAATCATTGTTGGTATTTTGATGGACCATGATGCAGCATTGGATGGCCAACAGTTAGAATTGTCACCCTTTTTTGCAACGAGGCCAACGATCATACTCAACGTATGGCCTACGTCACTATACATATAATACGAAGGGCCAACTGGAGCTTTCTTTCTGTAGGGTCAATTGTTGAGTATCTAGAATAAACCAATAATAGGAAGACAGTTGGCTATAGTACACTTCCATAAAATCCTTTAAAAATATTTGAAGGAGTGTAACACTGGAAATAATATTTATAATAATTACTTGTTATGATAATTATATACATGTATAAATTCTATATGTATGTATATTAAACAGGTAAACAAGTGTTTTACCAGCAAACTTACCTTTACAATTTATTATGTACAATTTATACATGTAGCTAATTATTACAAATAATTACTATAAGTTATTTCTAATCTTCTGTCCTCTGACTCTATTTTCACAAAATTTCGAGTATATTCAGAAATATGAAAAAAAAAGTCAACTTGAAATATAATAACAAGTGTTTGAATGTAGCAACGTTTCTGATGTTTTCAAGACTATATTCAAATGTTGGCAAACTTTGGGTGGGCCAATGTTGTATTGTCATTGTAAATTTCTTTTTAATTAACCAACTATAATAATTGTAGGTTAAACATTGGATATTCGTTGGCAAAATATCATAACTTTTTCGTCGTAGGCCCAATTTTGGGAATTTGTAGGCAAAAACACTAACTATGTCCCAACTATCTCCCAACTGTTGAATACCGTTGGCCAGCCATTAATATTACTAGAGTAATTATTGTACTAGCCAAGTTTAAAAACGTCTTTTCCGTGGAAGGATGCAAACTAGTGAAATTGATTAAATCATTGAATTGGTATAAATGTGTCAATTTTCATCTTTCACATTTACAGTGGATGAATCATCCTTGATACACATCCAAACTATAAAAGTGGAAATTCGCCTTAAAGGTTATAAATTCGTTCGTACCGACGAAGCAGTCAATGACATTCTACTTATTGGATCACCGTCAAAAATTGCCACCAGTCGAAAACATGTAATTTTTACAGGAAAGCGAAAATAAATCGATCCATTAAGTGACACTATTGTTATCTTGCTTGAAGTATTGGACTTCAACGTATGAGATGCTTCTGGACGGTGGATCTATGTATTACAATATATTCTACGTAATAAAATGAAAATTGAAATTTTGTTATTTCTGACATTCTATCTAGGAGGGTGCGGCATAACTAAGCAAGCTACCGGAACCAGAGACCACGTTCATAGACAGGACATACAGTATTCATTGTCTGCCTAATCGATAATTCTCTATTGACTCGTATTGCCAGTCATTTCGTCATGCACGTAATACTTTAGAACTTGGAATCCTATTAGAAGTGGTTTATTTCACTTCTAAGACGGTCATGTCACGTTAAACTCGGAATGGTGTAGTTGCAAACTTGCTTTCGAATGTCTGAACACCAAAGAACAAAATTTCATCTCCCAATGGAAGCTATATTAATATTAAATAAAATAACTTTATGCCACAGACTTTTACCCTCTCTCAAAGAGATCAACCTATGTATATGTATTAGAAAATATAAAGATTTTAGCAAAATTAAATTATACATATTTAATTATGAGGACTAGAAGTTAGAAGTGGGTTGAATATCTTCGGGTATGTATTATATATATCTACTATCTTTCTGTTGTTGTGTGTATTTAAATCTGTGTAATATTTTAATAATACAACGATGAGTGTATCTAAATAGATGTATGTATTGAGTCATCGAGAAAGTTCGTAGCGCCTTTAAGGACAGAGTTACAATCTATATTTTTCAATTTATATTATATTCCTATTTAGTAGTTTTTGTACAATTTCTTTCCATTTTTCAATTAATTGCATTGTAGCAGTTATATGTAACTTCGACTGTATTGGCTAAAACAAATTTTTCAACCTGTTTGTAGATGGAATTTGTTTTCGATGTTTTCTCTTGATACAGAATATTCTAGTGATTTAAAAGAATAATTTTAAAGCAAAGTGTTGTAATTTTTGTACAAGTTTGACAGAACGTATTAAAAGTGGACTATGTGGTTGTTTATACGTTTCGTTGGTATTTCTCACAGGAAGCAAACAAAAAACGACGAATAACTTATATAGCAAATACATTCAATTCACGCCTGCAAAATAGTACCTATTCACCAAATTAAACGACTTTCCCTTCGCTCTGTAAAAATATAATAAAGACATTGTGCTTGAAACGCTACGACCTTTCTGAACGGCCCAATACTATATAAACTCAAATATGTATCAAGGTTTGTAACTCTACAATCATATTATATTGTAATTTCTTGTGGTCATTAATAACTGAAAGATGGATGTGATCTTTATAAATAAACAGTTAAAAAAATAACTTTCGATGGTATAATAGAAAAAACATATTCGAGTATTAAAGCTGTGCAAACGTACTTCCTCTGATTGCCTAGGTAATCTTAGCTTAAAAATTACACTCGGCTGATCGTATTCATTGTTTCGTTAAAACTTCCTCTTCTTTGACTTGGAGGAGTACATCGATTTATTTAGGCCGAGAGAAGTGTTAGGAGAATCAGCTGGACTTTTTTCACTTTAATTTCCTTGTACTCGTCTGGTTATTGATTGGGACTTACCTAATTGCTTTCTACTATACGAGAAGGCTTTTCATAGGTATACGTTAATAAAGTGATACCATTAATTCCGTAGCACAAAATCTATCAAGCTGATGAAGTCGCTGTCGGTACGAAGTATTATCTACATAATGATGATTGAGTAAGTGGTTACAGTAAAACGTCAATTGTAGGAATCTTCCAAATATAAACTATTGGAACACGGAACGAGTAAAGAACCGAGAAAGTTTAGGTTCTAACTGAGGCCATTTGAAATATAATAGTAACTTCGATTCGAATCTTGTTGCGAAATGTAAAAAACTTGTTGGATCAAATTCATTGCATCAAATGAAGTTTATTTTGAAGGAGACAATATAAACGTTAACGATTAATGAAATTAATAATGTATTACAGATTTAATCATATTACTTTATTAGCATACCATTTACTGAGTGGTTCTGCAGGATCAATATATTCTAAGAAAACATTTTCATTTTGCTGGTCGTTAATGTCTGTACATGGAATTTCGTAACTACTTCACTTGCATGTTATGTCATACTTGACTGTAATGTACATGTTACTGGTTGGCATAGTGGCGCAACTAAAAAAATTTCAATTTTGCTGTTATTAAATACAAGGTCTACATTATGTTTCTATTTTTATCATGTAAAACGGCATATTTATAGTTCCATCATTTTTCGTTACAGAGCATTTATGTTATCAACCTGGCCTTAACTATACAAATGTAAATTAAAAATACCTCTTCTCTAAAATTTACATTTTATGAGTTGTGCCACAATCAATGCCAAGCGGCGATGTATTATAAGTTAAAATTCTTATTATAATTTATAACTGTTATAGTGACGTAACTCTAAAATGACTTGTTACACTAAAGTTTTAGATGAGTTTGTGCAAGAGACAAATGTTCGCTCCTATGAGTATACAAATTTACATGTGTTGAGATGAAAAACAAAATGAATTAGTTGAGTCTAGAATGTAATGTCTAAAATATTACCACTATAAAAAATACTTGCTATACTGTACAACAGAGTAAAGATTCGTTTTAACCAACTATGTAAAGAGAATATTTCTTGTGTGCAGGGAAAGCAAATTTCTGAGTCGAAACAGTAGTTCGTATCGACAAAGTTCTGTGGTTATTCAAATAATGTGAAACAACTTGTATGCGAGCAGCGTAACACGCGCCTTCTGCAAACTTGAATAATGGGCGAAAATGAGGACGGCAAAACGGCTGAGAGAAGTTGACCAGTACCCGGTAGAATTAGAATATGCAAGTTTAGAATTCCTACGCGTGTTACGCGAAAGACAATTAAATTATTATGGTGTAAAACGTGTTAAGAATTATTACGCGAGATGTGAGGATACTTTTGATACACTAAATATTATCAAATTTCCTTAAAAATTTTCAAGATTTCATCATTTCAATTTTACTTTATTAAGTATACCGATGAATCATCCATCATTTTGTGACACAATCAATGCCCTTTTCTAAAGAAATCGAAGAACAAATACTGTCTTATCGACGTTCATGCTTATTTTCCAATATTTACACTTATCTTTATTGAACTACAGAATGAAAACATATTCTTGGTTTCGATTGTCCCCTCTGAAGGGACAAAATGTATGGAGAATTAGGAAATTCCGAGCGCAAATTGTTAAAATAATAGCATATTACTGATTAATGCATCTTATAGGAAGAACGTCTTCGTACTAAAACGCGCAGATTTTGATAAAACGTGTTATATAAATAATTGCACAAGAGTTATATCTTATACGTATATCAAAATTTCTGATGTTATTGAGTAGTTATTGTTTGGAAAATATTAAAGTTCAATAGTTAATATTCCATTAACCTATAGTCATAAAAGTGGCGCAAAATACGTAATTTGTATAAAATTTTCTTTTGTTGAAACAGTTGTCCCAATATTTATAGATAGAAGTGAACGAGTATTTTTTAAAAATGTATATAATGCTACCGAATAAATTGTGTTTTTCTGACAAGACTTCACAAGTACACGTAATGAATGTGACTTTAAATATAGACGGTATAATTTACCATCAAAGTTCCTTTATGAATGAAAATATTTTTACTCACCTAGTAAAGACAAGGCACAGTAATGTCGCACTAAGGATCATCAGTTGCTGACTTAAAGCTGATTGGGATTTCTGCATAGCTCTGTGTAGATCATTCTGCGAACAAGAATATAAATGAAAACGTTAGAAAAATGTGAAACGAGTAGATGAAAAAGAATAATATAAGTGAATTACTTACAAACATATTTTCTAAGGAATGCTTTGCCAACCAACAGTTTAGGAACACCGGAATGAAGAGATTTCGCATCGGTGGATAAAGTAGCTGAAAATGAAATATGATTTTTGTCTCGATTAAATTACCACTTTTTTGAAAATATATTGAATTGTAACAGAAATTATTAACAAAAGTTAAATGATTATTGTTCCTTTAACTTTTCGAAACATGATAAGTAGCTGAATCTCACTTGTCTTCTACATCTTGTCTTATATTCTGTTTAATCTTGGTACAATAATTTAAAATAACTGAACATCAAATGGTTAAAATAGTAGTAAGAATTAAAATAATCTAATATAATGCTTGGTATGATAGCAATATATTATAAATGGCACATTTAATGATTTATTCAACCTTACAAAGATGGTAATTTGTGAATTAATGGATTTATTCTATTGTATTTATTAATAACTCACTATGTAAATGTAATGAAAAGTTAAGTAATAGTAAATGTCATGAGAAGTTAAGTGTATAATGAAAGACAAGTGTATAATCTCTTTATAGGTAGATTTACTTATCTCCTGAGATACAAATGTTTCCCACTCGGTTACGAGACGTTAAGTTTTGGGATTTGGGGATTTTCCTGGAACATTGACGAAGAGACAATAGACAAGGACTAATGAGACCGAACCACTTGAATCTCAAAGGGCAACCCCTTGATGGCGGTACCTATATCCCAGTTCTGTCTAGATCGAGGTTAATCCCTACAGAATAGATAAAGATCGATACACCGTGAAGATCGTATACGATACGTTGTAAACGTGGGAGAATCAAGATCATGTCATTTTAATTGCAATCAAAGTGATTCCCATGAATTTAGTTGAATTATACAAGGGTAAATTTAAGTAACTCATCATTAGAAATATGTTTATGAAGAATACTCATAAAATATCATAGATTATACATACATTATGTATACAGCATTCTGTTGGTGTGATATTTCACTACATAATACAACCAATCACAAATTTACAGGTAATATTGGAATTGTGGGTATTAAAGACACATTTAAAATAGTACCACTCATTTCAATAGATTTCTGGAACCTTAAGTTCACTTAAATTAAATTATACACGGGTATAAAAGGAATATTTAAAATAAATCTGAAAGAAAGTTTTTTTATCATACAGTTTACAAGAAAATTTATTATATTACATACAAATGTGGGCATATCTATTACCTGTGGCAGTAAACAGTTGGATATGTCAAATAATACAATAATATTTTCTACAAATTTAAGAATTACAATTACAAAAGAAACAATTACTTCATTTAAAATGAATGACGACGTACCTAAGTAACTTAAATGTAAAAATGAAAGAAGTTCACTTTAACTAAAAAAGTACCGTATACTCATAAAACGAAGTGTCGAATATCTTGATACCCGTGTTTTCGTATGCACATATTGTATAATAACATTATGTCGACTGGCTAGTTTCGCGAGTAACTTTCCCCAATGGTCAGCTGTTTTCGTCAAGAATTGACAAAAATATAGTTTCTGCTGTATACATAAAAGATTTTATTAACTTTTCATATCTAAAAAGTAATAATGGACATTTACACAATGCCAGGTGTCGCGTCATCGGCCACTAAACAGTTTGAACTTTTATTACGCCACAATAGCACCATCGATTGTCACAGCGCCAGCGTTCAAATATTTTTCTGTAACTAAATGCAACCCATCGGCCGATTTATTCCTAACCAATGGTTCCGAAACTAATGCAACAAGTCTTTATATCTGATCGAGAAACGAGAACCCAGTACTACCATTCAGCATGGCATAGTTCGGAGAAGCGGAATTCCGTAACTATATACGAACGGGTGCCCGGGCAATGCAAAGCAACAAGTTCTCCATTCATTCGCCATGGTGCTTGTTAATAGAACGGAAGCCTGTACAATACAGACACGGTTGTTCGACGAAATAAAGTTCTATCAGAACCCTTTGATGTTGCGTGCCTGAGGTTCGTAAAACCTGCAGATCCCTATCGCCATCTGGTGGAATAGAATTAAGAAAAGGATCACACGGTTGATATAATTCGTTTTACTCGAGGCGAAACGGCTTAGGCGTCTGAGAAAATGTTCTCTGTGTGTTCCACGCGTTCGTTATCAAACCGCGTCTTAACGAACACTTTTACTGCCGTATGTTGGGGGCACAACAATAACGATGCTATAAATATCTTTAACCCTTTCGCCACGGCAGATTCCAACGTAAACCCGTGGCATAGCAGTCGGCAGATATTTAACCACGATGGAAACTGTGAATGGCAGATGTTTTCGTGAGCGATAATAATTGCAGAGGATTTCTAGTTAGACGATGACAGTGGTCGCAACAGTATATTTTTGCAGATTATGCGATTAATAAGCATATTACCAAGCGAAGTACCAACATTTGTTGGTGGTACTCTGAAAATATTTCGAAACGCGTATAGGCACCAAATTTAGTTTTCAAGGAAGTCGAATTTGAAAGTTTAACTGGTACATGTATACCTGAGAGCCATCTACCTGATATATTTGATTGTTTCTAATTATTGATATTTGTTTTAAGGTTCATGAATACTAATTGTGGTATCATATAATCTTTTAACGAAGCAATTATATACATATTTTCATTGATGGGAGACACTTGAGATTTATAGGACATAGATAATACTGTAACATGACAAACATTTATTGCAAGTAGGAATAGTCATGAATTGCCAGGTACAATATCAGTTGTATTAGATAACATGCATGAACGATAAATTTTGAAACATGATTTTATTCTAAAGTAACTCTTATGTCAAAGGATGTTACGTTACATTTTCAACTTCATTTTCTATGTGGAACCTGCATCTTTCGGTAACACTCTGTATATTTTAATTGAAAATTTGAAACATATATGTAAAATTTATATGATCTTAAAAATTGGATGTATCTGGTAACGTTACCTCCACTTCCTGTCCTTTATAAGTCTCAGAAAAATAAGTTTCTACTTCGCGAATTACATTTCGATGAAATTTTTTATAAATAAAATATAGCTGATACTATTCTTTTTATTGTATTTGTGGATTCTTTCAAATAAGTAGAATATTAATTGGGTTCTCAAATGACTAGTCTTTTCCATTAACCACTTAATCTGATTATATAGCCTTTATGATAGTTACATACTTTCAGAGACACTTGTAATTAAAAGTTTAGGAAGAATTAGAAACTACTATAAATGTAATCAATGGAACATGTACGACGACGTTCTAAATCTCCCCAAATATTCTATTAAATACTATTTTTGGTAAATATAAATATCTAAATATCATACATACTACGTAATTAGACTTTAGTCACATGTCTCAATAATCCCTGTTGTCTGTATCATTTGTTATCACGGAAACGATACCTTTGATTTCAAAAAGGGTAAATCTTGCCCGTTTCTGAATAATCAATGTCCAACTGCACACAACTTTAATATTTCTTATATTACTAACAAAATTAGAAAAAGGTATACAAATATTTTTAATGAATTAAAACCTGATTCTTCTTTAAAATCTATCATAGTTTTCAAACACAAATGAATCATTCGTTACAAATTGGTCTCCAAGAACCTCTAGTCTTCGAATAAATCGAATATACACAGTCTCTGTATAACACGATGAAAATCCAGAAAATCCTTCAAAAGTCCGTGTTATACGAATTCGTGTTTAGGAACCCAAGAAATAATATTGTATTTTACATACGAAAACCGATCAGGTTTCAAAGAGAAACAAAACTATACTGTTCTGCACAATCCTTTAATCGTGTTAGAAAGAAACTATGTTGGAGGAATATTGGAGCAATTCTCTAATTGTGTTTAAGCGGTTACATATGTACCTTTGAGTTGTTAAATAAGAAGGAAAATTTTTCTGTATTTCAGAATTATTGTAAAATAAACATTCAACATATACATCTTATTATATGTCATTTCCTTATTAATTTCTGAAAAATCGAGCTATATATCTCTCAACAGAAGAGAATGGTTGCTATTTGAAAGCGTGTTACTCGAAATATATTTAGTTTTGCAAATCGGTACCAGAAATATTTAAAAGACTACTAAACCAATTTGGATCAAACTTTGTGGGGATAGTCTTAAGACTAAAATCTAGGACTCGACGAAGTACATTTTTTATTCGTGCATTGTTTTTAGCAGCAGAAAAAGTTGAAAATTTATGTCGGAAAGTATAAATATAAGTTGAAACAGCCGTCATTTTGTAAAATATTCATATTTTCAAAGTCGGCTTGGAACAGTACTAGTTCCTTTTGTCTATTTTAATATAAAATTTAAAAAACTTGTTTCAGATTAAAGCCCACAGAGATATACATATATGGTACCGCAGATGATGTTTTGATGAAACGGGTTATAATTAAATGGCAGTCATTTTCTTCTGTTGCTAGATATATAGTTCAATGTTTCAGAAACGACTATGGAAATAACATATAATAAGATGTATATGTTGAATTTTTAACAAACAATAATGTTACACATGCGAACAAATTTTTTTGTTTTCCCTTTTATTTAACAGCTCAAAGGTACATATGTAACCCTTAAGAGAAACCATGTTATAGAGAGGTTGACCGTATACGAAAAGTTTAAAGCAGGTGTTACAAGCAAAGTTATTTTGTAAACTGACTCACCGTGATCGTGAATGGTATGGTGTTGACCAGTTCCAGGATGAAGTGGAAAGAGAGAAGCTGCTGCCAGACGTTTCCCTGTGAACATGACGGAGACAGCTCAACAAACCCAGCGACAATTTTAAGAAAATACAAAGTGCGCCAAAAAGGGTTTTTTGAGAAGAGAACAAACAGCCGTTCTGCACTTTCCCTCGATATACTCGCTTTGATCATGACGTAGTTGTTGTACGTATACCGATGAATAGCAATAATGTTATTCTAAATCAACAGGTGTTTCGTTAATTTCCGGAAACGGAATCCACCGGTCCCTCCGGATTTGCGAATGGGCAAGCTGGTTCCGCGTTGGCAAACAGTAATTAAAGCGTTATACAAATACCGTGATTGCATTGTTGCCCTTTAGCAGTATTAATTCGAACTCGCTGTGTTCTGGTACACGTGCAAAAAATTTTCTCATGTCAGCTTGGCCGTATCGGTTCGCGATAATGAAAAGCTAAATGTAAGTTTCAATTCGAATTATAGAGTGAGGGAGTCGAACACGGAAATTGTATAAAATAAATGTTAAGCTTTTTATGTCAAGACATGTTACAATACTTTTTCAGACAGCGTAACTCGAAAATGGAGAAGGTGTAACTATCATTCTAAACTTGCGACTAGTTTAACTAGACAATTAAAAAATTATTTTACTATTATTGAAATTATCTGCACTAGAAGTCGAGTAGAAACTACTTATAGGACCGAAATAGTTTTATTCTACTTGTCTGGCTATGTATTATATATTCGGTTATTGAAATTTAGTAATAATAATTACTACTTGTAGGTTCACTTCGATCATGTCTTATAATTTGTACTAACTTGCTATTAATTTCTCTAATTTTACGATTGCTTAAAACGAATTGTATGGAATTTGGTTAAAATATTTGTGTATATGTATACTTGAATATTAAATAAAATATAAAATTACTGCTTCATAAAACTGCATTTCTATCGCTATTTACTATTCGCTATTCACTATTCACTATTTTATAAGAAAGAAATCATTCGGTAAAAGAAAGAAAGCTAAAACTATCTAGCAAAAGCTAGTTTCTTCAATGCCTGCAAATAAATAAGTACGTCAAGCCATCACCAATTTATTTTCTTATTTTGTATTTCTTAGATAAACAAATTCGTTTTATGTCTTCCACTATCAGTGAAAGATGTTTTTATATTCATGAAATAGTTTTTTCGAGGTTAATATAATAATATTAGGCTAATTATTAATATTACAAGGAAGAAAAGGTGATTTTCTCCTCTTACGCAATATAATTCATAATAGTTAAACATGCAGTTTATTCTTCTTCCTTGTTTTAAGTTTCAGGAAGTTCTATGGTTACTATTTATTTTAATTAGTTCAACTATTATTACTGTCTATTTATTTTTGAAAGTACCGTCTGTTTTTTTATGTTGGTTTGCATTCCAAGAAATTTTATACCTACTATTTATTTTATAGGAATCTATACCAATATTACTTCTTGAAAATTTTATAATAGTTTTAGTTATTTTACAAATTATGAAAAATATATCTTATAATATGCTTTTTGGTCAGTGTATAAATTGTTTTATTAATACTAGATTTTAATATGAATATTTTAAATGTTTTTTTTTTAAAAAGTTAAGTTGTACTGTTCGAAACTAATCACTACGTGAATTTTAGACCTAGAAAATCAATTTCATGTACCTTGGCTCAAGTAACAAGCCATTATATTATTTATTCAGAGACTTCTTTAAGCATGACCTTGCCCCGGGTCTTAAGTAGGGTAAGCAATAGATTTCCCTTGGAGCCAAAACCGTAGATCACTGCGGGCGGCGCATCTTCACATGTAAATAAACTTTTGTATTTTTTCTTTTTGAAAGGATTGTTTTTAGGACCTCTGTTGATCAGACATTTCTTACTCCACTCGGTGAGTAGGTACTCTAAGCATCTAAAATTTAAAATCTGATAATTAGCTAGTTTATGCGTAATTATTTTATTCTTAACCCTTGACCACGTGTGATTTGACTTTGAATTTAGTTGTGTCCTTTTAAAGGTAACCTGTAAGATGGTATATTTGTATTATTCAATGGGATTCGGAAACTATATTAACCAGGCTAGTACCTTAGAGAAGGAGTAACAGAATACATATAAAATGAGGTTTTCATATTGAGGTTGTTGGTAACATTGAAATGAAATTTTGTTTACTTCCCACTCCGTCCCAGTGAAAATTATTTTTTAATTATATGCAACAGATATCAGACTAGAGTAACAAAGAAACAATTTTGCAACTTCGGGAGATGTCACATGTTCCTTCAGATAAATTGCGTCGAGATTGATACAAGCATACATAATTGAAGAGCTCGGTTATTTTGTAAATATTATAGCTAGTCATTAATTAGTAAGCAATATGATAATTTAGAAATTTGTCACAATAAAGAAAGAAATATTTTCTCTAACGATTCTTCTGATGCGAACGTTGTAGCAATATTACTTTGTAACATAAAATTTACTTTCACTTTGCCAACATAAAGTACAGAATTGAAACGGTTTCATGAAAGTTACGATTCGCGTAAGTCTTGATACTCCGTGCATTCTACATAAGTATATGTTGGAAAATGTGCGATAAAGTAATACGAGCGTTGAATGCGACACTAAACTCGAAATATCTAGTACGAAAGCTTCTTCCAAGTAAAGTACCTTCGATTCAACTGTTCAATTCGGTCGTGAATTGAGTTGACGTTTATCTAAATATACACTGTTGATAACAGAGATTGTGGTTCGAGTTTAATAATCACAGATCAAATTCTCCAACAAATGCATTCATTTCACGTTATTAATACACTTGGCGTGCAATTTTAGTTTTCATATACAGGGTGCGTTAGCTAACTTGATCACCTCGAGTAATGACATAAAGATACACTTTATGAAAATTTTGAGACGTGGAACTTAAATGGCATCAAGGGGCATATCTTACCTTGTGAAATTCCTATTTATTGATGATATTCCTATTTATCGAATGATATAATATAAATATTTTATTGAATGACCTATTTTCTGTACCATAGATCGATAGAGTATCAAATTCTGAGTAACAATGTGTTGACGTTCATACGTTCTAAACCAAATAGTTAACGAGATATTTACAAAATAATTTTGAATACGTACTTACTATCTGGAAGCTATAGGTGCTTGAACTGATGCCCCTCAACTTCAATACAGCTACTTCAATAGAGTGATTATTTTGTACTTTGGTTTAGGTGATCTTGAAACCATCAAAATCCCCACACCCACAAGAAAAACCTTGATGCCATTTAAGTTTCACGCCTCAAAATTTTCATAAAGTGTACCTACCGTTAAGTCATGATTCAAGGTGATCAAGTTAGCTGAGACACCCTGTACATCGAAGTCGTCGTTTGAATATGATTTTCTTATGGTATTAGAATATACCTATACAGAACCTACATCAAAATGATACGGAATCAAAGGATGCTAGTTAAATATACTAGATCTAGTTTAAAGCAATAAATAATTAAAAAGAAGAAAATAAACAAAGGTAATTAATAAGACTCCAGCTTCAAAAATTTGGACGCTGTATTCAAGATTATTAGACCAGTGAAAATTGCGAATTCCAGATTTTTGACTCTCCATTACTGAAATTACAAAAGGTGCTTTTGCCGGAATTTTTATTGTGCTTTAATTTATTGTCCATCTTATTTTATACTGTACTATATTACATCGTATGATAGGTATAGTATACATTCAATACTGTTAGTTCTCGTACTATAAGAAAGGAAATATTGTATTTACAATGGACATCCCTAATGACGTGAAATTCTACATAAAGGCTAATTATTTACTTAAACTAAAAACGAAATGCATGTAAACTACAAGATAGAAAATAAGTAATTGCGAAACGATCGGGATGAATTTATTTTTTATTCGTGCACATCGTGATTTAACCCTTTCAGGCTTAAAGTATTGAAATATCGTTGCCTCTGTTACTTGCGAAACTGCTCATCATACCGATGTATCATTATCGCCTTTCATTGCCTGCTGTGCTCAAATTGTAATTGAATAACTAGTAGGTAAATAATCAACTTTTTATACAATTTCAGAGTCCAGTGTTTTGGGTGTAATAATCTTTTCAGCTTTTTAGCAAGCGCTCCCTAAAAATCGCTGATCCAAAAAGGGCTTAAGGCTTTTACGGCTAGCATCGTACAATTTTCACTGTTGTGGCTTTCGCATGTAAATCGTGTCTTTCCGGAATAACTTTTCCGAAAGATCCAAAGGGCCAATAACAATCGCAAAGAATTTTCTTGTATCTACTGCCCCACGCATCCCCTACATTTCTATCAAACGAACAGGAATAAAACGCTGACATAAACCCCTAGGTGCTCTTCGAATTTCCTCGACCCAATCTGATCACCGTTCTATGGGGAATTCCTAAAAAAAACTGTACCACACTTCAGCGCCGACTAATCCCGCCATTCGTATTCGTTCGCCGTGCTTACATTTTACATTCCGATTTCTTTCTGTCAAGCTGTCAGGGGTCTCGAACCTCTGTCACGTGCTATGGGCACGCTTTCACGATTTCGAAGCTGTCTCGAGGGAAAAGACCGGAGGAAGACTAACGAGACGAAGGTGAAAGAGTAAATTCTGTGACACATATGCCTCTGATTTTCTTGTTACAATAATATCTATTACATCCTGTATTGTCCTTTCTTAGTTTCATATTATTTTTGGAAGTATTTAAGCAGTTCGATCATTTTAATGCCTTCAAAAATACCATGTTTACGGGTATTCATTTCTGAGTGTCAAAAACACTTCTTTCCATCAAAATTTTTCAATAAATGCAGAGAAATGTATGAATAGTAAATACATATTGTAGGAAGCAGGCGTTAATAGAAGAGTTTGCGAGTATGTTGAACCCAAAACAGCTGATCGGGATTCGCAAACTCTCCTATGCCCGACAGAATGTACGAATGCGTGTGTGTGCGTGTACGTCAGCGTCGGATACGGCTTACGATTACGGATTTCGGCTACGATTACGGATCACGATTATTTGTAC